CATCATTGTTTTTATCACACACTTTTTTAATGAAACTTATCTTTTATTTTTTGGTATCATAATTAAAAAAAATGCACTGTTAAAAATAGTTATTATTGTACATTTTTAATTTTATATGAAAAGATATTCGGTGTCATCTTTGAAAAATAAATTAATTATAGTGCAGCTGTTTGTTATTCACTCATTTTTTTCTTTAGTGAAACGTAATTATTGTCTTTTCCTAGTTTTTTTTTTTCTGACAATGATGACAGGGGCTATTGTTATTTGTTTCATTAAATATTACACCACTGTTAATTATTATCGTTTTTGTTTCTTATTTTTGATAAAAAAAAAACATAATAATAAAATAAATAAGTAAACAAATCGTGATAAATAGCTTTCTAAAATTTGATTCTTACTTTTAAAATTCAAAATTTCAAAATTTTTTTGGTTTAATTATAAATTATTTCAATTACTTCAAAATCTTTCTAATTTTATATTAAATTTTTAAAATATTATACAAAATTTTAAAAGGAAATAAATGTAGAAAAAAAAACCTAAATGTACATGTTTTAACTAGGCATACTTGTATTTATTTTATATACACATATATTTCTAAATTTTATATAAAAATATTTTATATTAAATTTATAAATGGAAAATAAATATTTTATTGTTTTTACTTTGTACTATTTTATTTACAAATTTTTTTGTACTATTTTTACTACTTTTATTTTTAATACTATTTTTTACTACTTATTTACTAGGTACTCCGTATTTTTTTACTATTTATTTTTAAATCGTACAATTTATTTCCTTTATTACTATGCATGTATGTATATTATTGTTAAGAGTGGTACTTTTATTGTAAAATAAATATTTTTTTTTTTAAATATGAAAATTAAAAAAAAGATTTATATTTTATTTCACTTGATAGTAAATGAAAACAAATATTTGTAAAAGGTATAATTTTATAATTTTTTTTCAAATTCGCTTCACTTCCTAAAAACATAAAAAATAAAAAAAATAAAAAAAAAAACCTTTAGCATTATAAAAAAAATTCATTAATATTGTATTTATAGTAAGATACGTGTATTTAAAATAAAAAAAATGTATTTTACTTAAATATTTTATATAAGTATCAATATATAAATATATTATATATATATATAAATATATATATATATATAGACTTTAAAAAAATGTAAAATAAAAATGAAATTATTATTTAAAAAATAGGTTTATAATAATTAAAAATTAAAAAACAAAAAAAAAAAGTAAAAAATTAATAATTATTTATATATAAATTAAATAAATAAAAAAAAAAAACAAAATGTTTTAGGAGTATTTATCTCTTATGCTTCATTACAAAAAAAAAAATTATATATAAAAAAAATATAATTAAAAAATGGTGTTTACATAAAATAATTAATAAAATAAAATAAGAAAGAAAGACACAAATTAGAAATAAAAAAAATGCATAAGAGCATTTGATAAAAAACAAAAAAAAAATGAAGAAGACAAAAATATTGTTTCGAGAACATTAAAATAAATTAAATAATAAAAAAAAAAATAATAAAATAATTATAAAACAAGAAAAAAATGAGAAAAAAAAATATAAAAAATAAAATATTATTGTACTTTAAATTTAACAAATTATTATATATGAAGAAGGATAATTATAAAAACAAAAAAAAAATGAAAATGCAAAACAGTAATAATAAAATTATATACTAAAAATAATTTCAAAAAGAAAAGAAAATTTAAAATAGAAAATAATACAAAAACAAAAAAAAAAAAATAAATAAAAAAAAACTTGTATATGTTGTTGTAGATTTACAATATATTCAAAAGCAAAGATGAAAAATTATAAAAAAAAAAATTAAATAAAAAAATGAAAAAAATTTAATTTTGGAAGTTTAATTTAATTTTTACGTTTCATATTATTAATTTTTTTTTTTAAATTTCAGGTTACAAAGCAAATTAAAGAAGCCTTTCATTTTCATTTACGCTGTAATTGATTTCTTTAAATTATTTGGAAACAAATGGTGTAGATAAGAGAAAAACAAGCGAATTTCATTTAAGCGTTAAAAATAATTTGAATGTGTGATTTTTAATCAAAGCCACTTAAACGAAAATATCATTTAAAAGAGCAGTCCACTTAAACGTTGTTCACTCTGTTCACTTTTAATTAAATTCATTCCAATTTTAATTTGTTTTTGTTATTCTCTGTGGGAAATTAAATGCAATATTAAATATGAACAATTTCTAATTTAAAATGAAAATGAGAAACAAAACAATAAATTAAAAAAATAAGAAACAATTGCAATGTTATTACTGTTTCTTCATTTCACTATATGGCTGACATTCCAATATTCTATTAATAAGTGACGCGCTGGAGTTCAAGTGATAGGATACGAGGATTTTCGAAAATTCACTTCTAACTTAAATTTTAATATAAAGCATGTACGATAAATCGAAACTACAAAATCTTCAAAATGTAACTTTGTTCGATAAATCTTTACTATAAAAGAAGTAATTTCAAAAATCGTATCATGCGTGTATTTAAGTGCTTATCTGGATAACCGTTGCTTATCTGGATAAAAATTTCCTATTATTCAAAAATTTTGTAGTTTTCAGAGTGAAACTTCCATACATAATTTTGAATAATATTCCATTAAGCCAAGTGATGCATCTAGTAGATAAGGGTATATTAAGATGCTTAAATTTTTTTTTTTTAAGTTTCATAAAATTTTATAATGAGAATTGTTGTGTACATATACGAGTATAATTTGGAATTTGTTATAATATAAAAATTTTCTGTTTTCGCCATAATTTTGTTTAATAGCATTTTGTTCTTTTAAACAAAAGTCTGGGTCTAACTACAAATTGTTATTCTATTTAAAAATATGTTTTGACAATATATAGTATTTTAAATTTCGCATTAGTATTGACGAGAAAAATACTTATAGTTTGAGTAAGTGAGTTCTTTTGGTATCTTAGTTTATTATTGATAACTGACCCGATAATATAAAATCGGTTTTATTTATCGAAGGGACCTAAAAATAGTAATATTAAGTACTTAAATTCATTATTTACTAATTTTTACTTGTCCGATGAGAAAAAAGTTGTGCTAGTATCATATATTTCGGCTAATGTTTTTTTTTTTTCAAGTAAGCCAGTTGCTTTTGGTTTTCAATAAAATGCATGCAAATTTTACAATATTTTGTTTAGTTTAGAGAATCGAAAATGGAAAAAATTTTTGTTTAGGAGTAAATTTCAAGCTCAACGGTTTCTAGGAGAGAGGGATTTTAAGAAAATTTCGCAAAGTTTTAATTAAATTTTTCTCTTCATTTTAACTTAAACTAAAATTGTATGCTACATTAGATCTAGACCACTGTAGTATCTAGATTAATTAAGGCTTCGACTGGCATAAATCCATTATATTTGCAATTACAAAATATGTAGAAGATTAGGTCATCTATTTAGATAATGTATTGTATTGTTATACTAAATTATAGATTTGATTCTGTTATTATTTGAGGGTCTCAGAAGCAGAGTGGCGTAAGCCACATATAAAAAATTTTTTTTTTTTGCTGCAATCGGTTATGTATATCTTCTAAAATCAGTAATATTAGTTTCCAGTTTCGCAATAGCTTTTTTCCTATTTATTTTTCACAAAAGTACTTTTGCTTTTTCAAAGTATTTTACAAAAGCAAAGTGGCATAACCGACATTGTGGCTTACGCCACTCTGCATCTGAGCCCCTCATTTAAGCATCCATATTTTAAATACCAATTCTAAAAATATTTAATATTCTTAACATTGTATTTTAAAATAATTAAAAAAAAAATAACAAAGTGTAAAGAAAAACTTATTTTATTTCAAAAATTTAAAGATTATAATAAAAATTTATTTATAAATTTAACTTTTAACATAATTATACTATATATATATTATATTCATATGATATATGTATATATCTATTTATGAATGTATACATAATATAATTTTTAATGTTCATATTAATTACATGTTTTATTTTCACATATCTTGCAATCATATATTTTAATTAAATTATGAAAAATACGCTATATAAAAAGAAAGATAAGAATTTCAAATTAAGAATAATAAAAATAATAAACGTATATATAAATATAAATATATATATACATACATATTTAAACTATTATGTAGATATAAGAATATAATATGATAGTATACAATATTTATTATATGCATGCCATATACAAAAAATAAATAATTTTAAAAATAAGGCGGTTAAAAGTTCAGAAATTAACTCATATGCTCTTCGAAATTCCTTAAATTTTGAAAATTTTTGAAATGAAACAACAAAATTAAGAAATTTTTTTTTCACAATTATTTTTCTTCCTTTATAGAAAAGCTTTTGTACACAATTTCATTCTAATTTTTTGAAAAATATGATTTTTAAGTTTCAATGAAGAAATTTTTAAATTTTTAATTTATATATTTGATGCAATATAGAAATTAGATAGAATTGCGGTTCAAATTTCTCAATATTTATTATTTCTGTGCTTAGACAAAAAAGAAGAATATTTTAACCAATTGTGTTTTTATTAAAAAGGTTCATTAATTGAATATTTTTTAATATTCACACAATTATAAATTTTGGTTTTTAATAGCCCTGTTTTGGTGCACTATTAATTCAACACCATAAGTAACTGCAAATATTCAAAAATTTGCTGTTAAACTGAACATTTCTTTAAAAAATATTGTGTTTCATATAATTAATACATGTACCTATGTGTATAATACTTAAAAATAATTTCATATCATTTTATTCTAAAGCTTAATTGTTGCATTTTTAACTACATTTATGTCTGCTATTTTTTCTATCTATATAAGTATAGGTATATTATTATTATTTTTACGAAACAGGTGAGAAAAAGCTTTTATATATTTTGCTGCATTTGTTTATTTTTTTGAAAACAAAAATTTTCCAAGAGAATTTATATAAAATGAGTCAGTCAGTCGATAGGATGATGTCGTGCAATAAAATTAATTTTTCGAATAAAATTTTGAAATTTTATTTAATTTTAATTCGGTAGACAATATTTTTTTTTTCCAATTTTAATTTTATAGTACTTTTTTTTTCATAATACTTATAAATTTAATTCTAAAAAAATTTTATATACGGTTTTTGTCTAAAAATACTATAAGGTCTACATAAAAAGGCCTTGTTCTATCATCAATGTGAAAAACATATAATATCATTGTCAAAGTATTAGAAAAAAAAAAAAAAAAAAACAGCTAAAATTTTAAATTAATTGATTGTAAGAATTTAGTTATATGTAGAAATTTCAAAAAGTGATACTTAATATTCTGAAACAATAATATTTTGCAATGGTTCCAAACGTTCTGTACGTAGATTTTATAGCTGGAAGTGTTGGTGGTAAGTATATTTTCCTATAAATACACTAATATAATGTAGATATTACTAAAATACTTTCGAATCGATAATGAACTTTTAAAAATTTTCACTTATACTATTTCGACTAATATAACACAGTTTCTTTTAAATTTGCTTATATACTTGTTACAATATAATAAAAATATTTAAGCATTATGAGCAAAAAAAAAAAATTCGTAAATATTTTTGAGTGGTAAAATTTACGTAAAATTTCCGCAAAATCAAAAAATTCAATGACGTAATATTTAAAATTCTAAAATATTATAGTCTAATAGTTACTACATACATGCATACATACATTTTCCATTTGATGTTCTAAGAAAAATTGTATATAAAAAAAAAATTGTTGAAAAATTTGATAAAAATAAAATATTTAATTAAACTTTAATTGCAAAATATTTTTCAAGATCAGTCAGTCAGTCGTTTTTTTAATGCACATGTGATTGCATTTTCTATACATACATACTTATTTATATTTTTGATATTTATATTTATTATGTACATACATATACTTATGTATACATAATACGTAAATAAAAATTTTGTACATATATGAATGTGCATAACTACTAAAATAGATATACATACATACAATCTAAATTTAATTTTGTTGTTGATATTTTATATAAAACATGGCAAGAAATGCTTAGTTTATTTTTTCCGAAAAGAATTTTGTAAATAAACACGTGGTCTTTTTAAAAGAAAATTGAAAAATACTACATAACAAAACAAAAATAAATATAATGCCGAAAGTGGCGCTATTTACTTACTTAATATATTTTATTTTGGTTTCATTACTCTATATTTTATTTAATTAAAAATTGGTTAAATAATATCGTAAATAATTAATGGGTATCTACATAAGTATGCCTACATATTTCTTTGAAATTATTATTGACTTTCAAAACTAAAGTTGTTATATAGTCATATAACGGTAGGAATGACTGTAGTTGAAAAACGTTCAATAGAAAAAATTTGAGATGGATTTCAAAGAGAAATATTAGGCCTTTTCTTAAACGCAGTATGATGATACCGCATTTTACATACAATAGCGAAAAGTACGATATATTATTGTGTTCATAAATGCTACTAATCTAGTTTCTTCATAGATTGCTAAAAATACAGTAAAAATTGTTAGGAATAGTGAAATTAAATCATATTATGTAACGGTTTTGTTTTTATAGCAAAGTAAATCATATGTTGCATATTTATCACGTAATGTTTTGTGTACAGTATTGCGTTTTGCAATTATTGTTTTGCAGTGTTGCTTTTATGAAAATCTCTTTCATAAGTCAACAACTATTCCATATTTTATTCTTCTTATTTAAGAATTTTATTTTTCAGTTTGCCTTTTTATTTGTTTTAGCAACTTTTATTGAAAATTAGGTGTTACTTTACTAATTAATTGTATTTACTAGCCGCCACCAAGATTTAGTTTTTAGATATATATGTATGTATGTATGTGTAAATGCAATTATTTTTATAAATTTAAATTAAATTATTTAAAAATATGAAGCAAAAATTTCAAAATAAATACTATATAAATGTTTGTATGTAAAAATATATATATTTAATTATTGACAGAAAAAATATTTTATTTTTTGAAAGAAAATCGCGAAAATATTTTTATTTATTTGGAAAATACTTACATGAAATTTTAATTTGTTCAGGGCATTGACCTAATAAATCCATTCATTCAAATTATTAATATGTAGACAATTTTAGCCTAACAAAGGAATATGGTAGAACCTGAATACACATATACATACATATATATTATTCAAATTTGTATGCATATTCTGTAAAATTCTGATGCACATCATAATTAATTATTCAAAAATTAATTCAGTTGTACGAATACGAAAAGAAAAAAATTAATACTACTCATTTTATGAATAAAACACTTCTCTTTTAATTCATCATTTTTAAACAGGTGCGCTTGGTGTATTAGTAAGTCATCCTTTAGATACAATAAAAACATGGCAACAAGCATCTAATTCACGTGTAACAAATGCTGTGTCCAACATATTTAAACGGAATAAAGGGGTAGGTTTTAAAAATAAAATATTTTCACTTTCATTATTTTATGTACTTACATTAATTATTTTCATATTTACAAAAAAAAAAAAAATAGAATATAAAATAATACAAAATAAAAGTTCTTTTATAGAACTTTGTATTTAATAAAAATATCCAATGGAAATTTTGTAGTTTAATGGCTTTTACAGAGGTATGCTTTTCCCACTAGTAACAACAGGTGCCGTTAATTCAGTTTTATTTGGAGTATATGGTAATCATTTAAGGCAACTACAAAAAACTTGTCATAGTGATTTTCAAAAAGAGCAATTAGAATACGAACATATCTTTCTTGCTGGATCTTTAGCTGGTTTTGCATCATGCTTTGTTGCATGCCCCATTGAACTTATTAAAATTCGAATTCAAACTCAATCATGTAAGTTTCTTAAATTGTATTTTTTTCAACTTTAATACGTATACATAGTTGTATGTACATAAATCTTAAAATTTTTATTAATTTTTTAAATTTTAGATTACAGTAATAATTATTTAGTTGGGCAAAGAAAAACACCCTTTAAACTTTTTATGAAAATTTTAAAATCAGATGGAATTCCTGGTTTATATAGAGGACTTTTGCCAATGATGTGCAGGTACATAAATTTATATTCCGCACATAATATTATAGAAAATTACATTAGTAGTGTATGTATGTATTTATGAATGTAGTAATGAATTTAATTACGTTAGTAATTTTCCAGTTTTGCATATTAAGTAAAACATTTAATTATTTTAGTTACTTAAAAGTATATACATAGTATGATATTGTACTATATTCTAGGGATGTTTTTCCGTACGGAATTTATATGTTGATTTATCAAAAAACAACAAAATTTTTTGAAGACACAGTTTTTATAAAGAGGAAACGTGAAGCAAATAGAATTTACAAGAAATATGAAATTGAACATGATGATAGAACGGATTTTATTGTCACAACATTGGCTGGGGCTTGGGCTGGTATATTATCATGGGTGTGCGTGATTCCATTTGATGTAGTTAAAACTTTAATGCAAGCAAGAGATAGCACGGTTTACCAAGGCATTTTAGATTGTATAAAAACAAATGTGAAGGTAAAATATTGGTTCATTCCATATAAGGACATACACATATACGTATATTTCTTTTCTTTATACTTTTATTCATGGTCATATTTTTTTCTTTTAGACCTACGGTATGAGGAGTCTTTTCCGTGGAAGTTGGATATTAGTTGTTAGAGCAATACCTTTTAATGCGGCAACATTTTTAGGTTATGAAAAAAGTTTTAAATACATTTCTGGAACTGAACATCAAAACATGATAAGCATAAACAATAAATTTTAAGCAAATATGAACATGTACAGTGTTTCTTTTAAGTTTTGCATCCACTTTATTCTTTATTTTCATATTTGCAATGCTCTCTATATATACATTCATCCAACCATAATACTTTATTAAATTCCAAGAAAATTCTGCCATTTTGAAATATGAATGTAATTCAGGAAAAAAAAATTTTTTAGAAACAAATTTATAATTTGTCAGTAAAACACAATTTGTACAATATAGGGTTTTACTATCACCTGGCTTTAATATTAAAATGAAATGAATTTAAACGCGCGCCTTATCGATTCCGAACTTATTAAATGATGGGGTAGAAACTTCTTTTTGACAATACTCGAATTTCGGGTATTGTTAAAATAGAAATTAAAATAATAGTTTAACATATTAAAAACCGAACAAATATTTAATTCAAAAATTTACATCGGATTTAAATTATCAATTTCATAGAATATTTTTCAAGTGTACTTTAAAAAAATTTAAATAATACAAGTTTTGAAAAATTATTTTTTAAAACAATAATTTTTTTGGCAAAGTACCACTTTCTACAGCTTCAATTTTTCTTTTCAAATTTGTTGAATTTTCATTTTTCTTTTTGTTAGCAACCGGCATGGGTAACCTATGTCCTGCTGATGGTGTAGGTTTATTGTAAAAATAAGGCATATTCAATGCTTCTGTACAGCTAATTCTTTTCAAAGGACATATTTCTAATAATTTTCCTATAAGATCTAAGAGATCATCTGGCGCAGCTGTAAAAATGTGCTGAATCGGGGTTCCTACAAATTGTTTAAATTGCATAAAATCTGGCAATAGTTTCAAACCAGGCCAACTTTCTTCTGTTGGAGTCCCTAAAGTTTGAAATATTTTCGTTAATTGATCCAAATCACTATCGCCTGGTAGTAAAGGAACTCTTAATAACAATTCTGCTAATATACATCCAACTGCCCACATGTCTACACCAATTCCATATTGCCTAGCACCAAATAACAGTTCGGGGGATCTGTACCACCTGGTAACAACTTGATGTGTGTAAATTCGATTAGGTGAACCGAAAAACTTTGCTAAACCAAAATCTCCAATTTTCAAAATTCCATCCGAGTTTATTAATAAATTATTTGGCTTTAAATCTCTGTGCAAAATCCAATTTTGATGCAAATATTCTAAACCTTGTAAGGTCATAATCATGTATGCCTTGATGTTAGATTGAGTTAAAATAATATTGGAATCCTTTATAATAATTTCTAAATCTGTGTCCATGAAATCGAATACCAGCGAAACATTCGACTTATGTCCAAACACATCAAGTAGACCAATAATGTTTTCGTGTTCTAATTCGTGTAGCAATTTTATTTCTCTCAATGCCGTCCTGTTAATTCCATCTTGAGCCTCTTCCCTACTTCCAATTTTTATTTTCTTAACAGCCACAATTTTATTAGTGGTAACATCTCGAGCTTTATAAACAGTAGCAAACTGTCCTTCACCAAGAAAGTCTATTTTTTCGTACCGTCGGCGTTTATCTACCATATTTTACAAAATTTTAATAAAATTCAAATAAAAATAACAACAGTTTTGACAGTACAGATTTTTCAGGGCTTCCGCCTTTAAAAATTTTTATTTTGAACTTCAAAAAACTATGATTAGTGTGCTCGTGATATATTAAGCATAGAATGGTTGAACAAAAAATAATTTTGCGCTCAAAATTGAAAAACCAAACAACTGAAGGTGAAAACATTACAAAAAAGGCGGTATTTTCGCAGCGAAATGTCAAAATTCATTTATGATACGAATACACAAATGGCATTGCCCAGAATTAAGCGAAAATACTACCACGAATTTAAACGACGGCAGTAAAGAGGCTTAAAATTGTATTTTGGGGTTAGCGGTTTTTTTTTGTATCATCTGTTTCCATGTGTATGAAACATTATAAGCAAAATAATAAAGAGTTAATTTTGCCGTTCACCGCTTTGGTTTCTTTATGCACTAAATCTGATCAGATTCAGAGCTGTCGCATCATGAAAAGATAAAAAATTTTGTCATATGAGAACTCGTAGGTATTTATTGTGTCATTTGATAATTTTTCAAATTTGATGTGTCAAATTTGCTATTGTAAAATCTATTTACTTTTGCAACAATGAAAAAAATTACATATTAGAGCAACTAATATTTATAAGTATATCTTATGTCAATAAAATAGTCCTTCGCAAATTTTGCATTTAATTATTTAAAAGATCTTCTCATATTTAAATTAAACTTTTTTCAAATTGCCTCACACAGGTTTCTCTTCAATAATCTAAACTACATTAAAAACAAAATAACTTTGAATTTAAACCACGCGTCAATTTGGATATAGACAAAACAATAGATATTGCTTTGGTACTTACTGTCAATTTTTTTAAAAATAAAATGGCGTCACATAATCATAGTTTCAAACTGAAATCAGTTGATTCTTATTTTAGTTCTAAATTTCGTAGCAAAATTATTATATTTTGACGTAAAGTTTAAGCTCCGTTTGATAATTTCAGTCTGATACGTAAACAGTCATCAAACTTTGCCACAGATTTCATTATTAAAATTACTCGTATATGTAAACGCATTTTTCTTAGCTTTTTAACTATTGTGAATTATACATTTTAACCTTATTCAAGCTAAATTTCTATTTGTCATTTTGAATCCCATCTCCTTTTTTCTAACTTTGAAGTGTCAAAAATGACATCAAAACAAAGCCAAAAAAATTGTGGTTTATTTGTTCAAGTTGAACTGAATTTAGTTTACGTGCAAACAAAGCTTTTTTCAGTCGTTCGCAAAAAACAAAAATAAGAATTATTTAACCATAGAAAAACAACAAAAAAAAAAAATAAAAAATTTTGAAAAGTTCAATAATATTTTGTAATTTTTTTTAAATTTCTTATATTTTTGTCTTCTATTACTAAAAATCAATAAAACAATAATATTAAGATTTATTTGCCAATTTTATGCATTTAAAATAAAATTCCAGAAATTTTTGGTAATTTATTAAAAAAAGGAGGAAAAGTGTAAAATAAAAAATTGTACCTATGATAAATTTTATGATGAAGTCATTTTATGTACCATTAGAAAAGTGTTTAGTTGAATGTCGTTGTTATTATTCTCATAATAATAATTGTTGTTGGTAGTGCCTTAAGTTTTCTAAAATTTCTGGCTATGAAATTTTCGGAGAAATTTATTGAAATCGATTCATATTTAATCAATAATAAAATATTAAAAAATAGTAAATAATATAAAAATAATAAAAGGAAAATTTTATTAAGGAATTATTGTATACAATAACAATAAAGATGTCTTCGTTGAAGGTTGCCGTAAGAGTTCGTCCATTCAATCAAAGGTAAATTTTATAGAATAAGTAATTGTGTAAGAGAATTTTTCTTTGTTCAAATTTTTAGAAAGCTCATCATTATCAAATTTATATTCTATTGAAATTTTAAAATATCTTATTATAAAAATTAAAGAATCTTAAAGATTAAATTGGATACATTTTTATAATATACTATGAGCATGTACATAAATACATTATATATATAACTATGTATACAATATACTACATACACGTAAATTAGGTAGGTCCTACCTTCGTATTTTCTTTTCGTATATAGAAGATAGATGAATAAAATTGGGTTATTTTTAATATTATTTTTGGATATGAAGAATTAACTAAGTAAAAGTGAAAAGATTTGCGTACTAAAAAAAATTCATTATTAAATAAATGCGTTTTTAAATATTTGTTTATTTATTCTTTGTTATAATTTTCTTTTATGAAAAACTTCAAGGAAAGATCATAACAAATTTTTGAATTAAATTTTCATGTTTTTTCATTTATTGGATGCTACAAAGTAATATTTACAAATTACAGTACATGGGTATGTAGGTAGGTATAACCTTCCACCTACTACAAATGAAACCGTTTCTGTGATTAATACTATTAAATGTTGCTATTCAAATTGTACTTTCTCTAATTATTTACAATTTTAAAAAATGAATATTTGGCTACATAATTCGGTAGTACTCAATTTTAATTTGCATTGTTGCAAATTGCAATTTAAAACGCAAATTGAAAATAAGTTAGCTGTCATTTAATACTAACTCTATTGATTAACATGCATTCGTATGTAGGTAGGTACATACATACATATTGATAAATTGTTTGAATAAACGATATTATAAAAAGGCGCGTTAATTGTATGTCACAGCAGTGTACATAAAAAAAACGTTAAATTTGAAATTTTGATGGTTACATCATTATTGCTATCAAACTATCAAATGAGTAGGATTTATTGCAAATACTAGGTTGGGCCTTAAAAAAAAATAATGAATTTATCCAATAAAGGAATTATTTTTATTAATAGGTTACAAAAATGCAATTGTACATAAGCACATAAACATGATACAATTTCCAAATTAATGTTACAGGAATACGCAACCACCTATCTCCCTATCGAAATGCTTAGAGGTTTTCTTCGGAGTTCGAAAAAATAATTGTGTGTTCCTGGGTTTTTAGATGTTGGAGCAATATTCTTGTTTATTATAGATTTGGGTCGTTACATTATTTCAAATTTTAAGTACAATTAAATACAAAGTCAAGTAAAAAGACACAAACAGTCTACCAGTGCCACATAATGTGAGTTGGTATAAAGTATGTACTCGTATATTAGGTGGATAATGCAACATTTTTTCATTTTAAGTCAATGAAAAAAATAGCTTCTAGATTGATTGTAAGTGAAAATACCACTACGAAAAAATAGTAAGTTACCTGCTTACCTATAGGTTCCTAGCTAATAATTTAAAATTGTTTAAATTAACAAGAATAGGAGCAACAATTTTCTTGAGTAATGTGGAAGAAAATTTCCGTTTTACTTTCTAACTATGCATACGTAAGTAAGTACACACGAAATTTTGAATAAAAATGTTGTTCAAAAATTTAATAAGACGAATCAAGGAAATTTGCAATTAAAATCTAATTTAATTTAAAATTAAATGTTTACGACCTTATCAACACATCTTAAAATTATATTCAAAATCTACATACATATTACTTATAGATTATACTACTTATTTTTATCTCGTGTATTAGCTTCAAAGAGTTTTCATTTTTATATGAGAGTTCCGATGCAATATAAATTTGATTTGTGTAAAGTAAGATCTATCTGCTTGTGAAGTAACCGGCTCATAACATTACAAAACTAACCATTTAAAATGTGATTATCCCACTTAGCGAAATAGGTCTAGGTAGGTACGACTTTTGTAGCTCGATTTTTTATTTTTAGGTATGTAAGTTAATAAAATACATATTTTATATTTTTCTTTTAATTTGCATAACTTTTGTTTATAAATAGAAAGAAATTAGTTTTATGTTATTCTTTTAGTACTTTAATTAAGTGAAAACAATAACTAATATATGTACATACATTTGTTTCTATACGTAAGTACATATACAAGTTCAAAGTCAAGGCTTTAATACTAAAGTGAAATAAATACAAGCAAATATTGTGGGTGGTAGTGCATTGTTAAGAAGGAAATGCAAACATTTTTGTAACAAAATAAAATTGGCATTGAATTTTATTGCAACAAAATCAATTGGTTTTTTATGGTATAAGTATACACATTCGACCTTCTTAAATTTTTTCCTTATTTATAATTTAAAAGAAGAAATAAAGCAAAATATTTAAGTAGACACTCAATTTTAATTTATTCGGCTAAGTAGGTTCTTACATAAGTGCATACATACTTATGTATGCATTTTGATTCTCAGCAAAATTTATAGTCTACCTTTACATTATCTAACTTTAAACAGGAAATTAATGGTCCGTTTTGTGACAAAACTTATTGTTCGTATACAACTTGTATAAAATGATAGTTATGTTGCTTGTTTGATTGTGTAAAGGTACTTTAAGTACGTACCTACATTTGCGAAATTTTCTTTTGTACGCGTCTAATATTAATTGTTGTTGATAATTTCTGTTTAAAAAATTTAAAAAATTTTTCGTTTCGTTTAAAAATAAATTTTATAAATGTAATAAAAATGATTTGTATTTTTGCGTTTCAAATTTTAAAATCGAATAAAGATTTTCATGAAGGTTATTAGAATTTCTTAAGTTATTTCAGAGAATTATTCAAAGCTTGAAATGAAATTTGTATGTTAATCTTATTTTGTGAATTTTTTTATTATATTCTTGTACTTACTTGGTCTTATTTTTGAATGTTATTTAGGCATGTGAATTTTTTAATGCAACTTTTTCGTAACAGAGACGTGTCTACTCTAATTTTATAAATTACAAAGGATACTTGTGGTTTTTCTTTAAGTGTCTAAAAATTTACTTAAGAGGAAGAAAAATAATTGAAATTTTCTAAAATGAAAAACTTTTGAACATTTAGTTGTGTAAATATTGGGTAGTGTTTTATAAATAAAAGGAGTTGTTTAAGGGGGTAACAACTTTAAGAACGTTATGAATGAGTTGGACATTATGGGCATAAGTTATTAAAATTCAATTATTGGAAGCGTCGATTTCTGTAGTCTCTGCATGAACTGAATTTGATTGGCTCCTGCAAAAGCTTGCCATTATTTTATTTGATTTTCAAAAAATATTTCTTATGTTTTATAAAATTAAATATGATGTTAAAAGATGAAAGAAATAATGGCCAGTGCGCAAAAAATGCGTGAAAAATGCAATTTCTAAAATGTCTTACTTGAAGTTGTAGTTTTCTAAATAGCAGCTATGGCTGTTCTCAATTTTTAAAAGCACTGCTTTTAAAAATATTTACATATTAAGCAGTTCATATACACTGCAATCTAGTACAAAGCTAGATTAAAACTATGTTTGAACATTTCAATTGTTTTTTGATCATTAAAATTTATTTGGTCGAAATTTACATTTTTAAATCAAATTAATACCACAATTTTTTTCTTGGCCGTTTTTATACCCTACACCTTTGTAAAGGTTGTATTTATTAATTTTTGTACGGATTTTGTAAAAAATTGAAGGACTTTTGTATAGACGGTTGGTATAGACAATATCTGTACATCCGTCCGATCGCGAGGTAATTCCAAAAGAAATAAAGCAAACACCACCAAACTTCTACAACTTAGTTTTTTTTTTATCTGCAAAGGATGGCCCTTATTTTAATTTGACTAATTTGGGCAACGGGTTCGGGTATCTACCAAACAAATCAAAGAGATTATTTTAATATTTCAAAAACGAATAAATGTATTTACTTATATATCGTAAACGTGTGTCCATTAACATTTTGCATAAGTATATTACGAAAATTTTAATAGAACGTTTGCACTGATTTGGATAGCTGCTATATAACTTTAAAAATTGATGTTAAGTAGTTGAAGTTTTTATGGAAAAAGGTTTGACACTTTCAAATAACTGTCATACATGAAAGCTAACTCTAATCTAAGTATAAAAGCAAATTTTTATACTCAGATTTTCAGATTGCAGGCTATAATTACGTCGATTTAGACTAGAGACTCCCAAACTTTTTCTCCTCGTAGACCCCTTGTCGTGTTTTTGAATTTTTGATATACCCTCTTAATACTTATTTAATTAAATTCATATTTTTATCATATGAATTTAATTAAATAAGTCATAAGACCCTAGCAGGTCTTCATGGACCCCTGGGGGTCTATATAGACCACTTTGGGAATCACGGTTTAGACCGTCTGAAACGTTTTTCCTTGTTTTTTATTTATTGTTTTTTTTTTTTTTGCAACATACCTCTCAGCTTAATATTCACTGCAATAAGAATAAAGCAATAAAAGAAAAATCATTTTAAGAATTAAATTTTAGCATAAATATTTTCATGTACGTAGGACTAAGTACCTATAAGTAGGTATAAGGGAATCCTTTTAGGACTTTTAATTTTAATAAATAAAAACCTATAAATAAGCATTTAGTTATATACCTACATACAGGTACTTATTTTGTACTGAGTATTTTATTTATTTTGTACATGTACCCGATTTTTATTTTAGTTTTTTATTTACTTCTTTTAAAATTACCTTCTTTTAAAATTAATGATAACTTTTATTCTTATTCTCTGAATGCAAATATACATATAATTTTTTAAAGATTCCTTTGAGGATAGTCGTTCTTTAAATAACTTTTTTCCGGAATAAAAAATTTTATTTTAGTTTGTTTAAGAAAATCAAAAATTCTGTTGATAAAGCGTATTTTTGTTTCACACAAAATCACTCGACTAATGTATGTTAATATAAGGATTGCTATAAAAATATTTACGAGGTGAAGAATTTATTGTACAGCTGTGCTACCGAAGAAATGAAAAACAAATTTTTATACATTTTTATCACATACATATACGTACATT